GGGGTGGGGGGGATGGAGTCTGTAATCTGTGCTGTTGTTAAGCGTGATGACATGTCAGTCACACCCATCGGAGCTGGCGGCCTGGGCTTTGTGCCGTTGGGACACACCCCTCTGCAAGTCCGGGGCCCTGCGCGTGGGGGCTGCCCTGTGTGTGCAGGCCAGCTGCAGTGCACGGCCTGCACGCAGTAGGTGCTTAGTACATGTTTGTGGAGTGAAATGAAAGCAAGAATGAAGTCGGGACACAAAACCTCAGCCTCCATGAACGACCCTTTCAGCCAGGGCCCTGGCCGCTGGGCCCAGAGTCCCCTCCAGGTGAGAGGCTCCGACGGTGGGCACCCCCTCGCCCTCCCCTCTCCTCGTGGACGTCACCACCCGAGCTTCACCGCCTGGCGCCAGGTCGGCTGTTCAGGATGGAAGGTGGGGCCGGTCAGGACGGGCGGCGCCTCCCCCTGCCCTGCCTGCCTCAGAGGGGACCCTGGACTCACTGAACTCCCAGGGCCATGGCTCCGCTCCTGCTCATGGCGGTTCTGGGCCTCGACCCTGAGCCGCGGTGCCTGAACCCGCTGTGCCGTTTGTCCCTGACTCAATGGCCTCAATGTTCTCCCTCAGAGGACCCTCTCTCAGTGAATTTATTTCTGTCCCTGTGCTTTGTCGGTACCGAGAGCAGTGATGTCGGCCCGGCAGCTCCTGGTGGGAGGGCAGAGGGGGCCAGGCCACGGGAATTGTACGGAATGTCCAGGAGAGAATCGGCTCCTGGGTCATGAGGGCTTGTGGCAGGGGAGCTGACGGCGGGAACAGATGGTGGGGAAGAAGGGACTCAGCCACCTCCCCTTCCAAGCCGGTGGGTGTCCCGCTGGCTTCTCCCAGGAACTCCTGCCGGCAGCCCGACTGTGAGGCCTCTGGCCCAGCGCCCGCCCGCCCGGTCTCGGCTCACCTTCTGCGCCCTGCGCTTGTCCGCTCTCTGGTTCTGGTGGTAGATCCGGCTGAAGTTGGAGACGATCACGGGCACCGGCAGGGCGATGACCAGGACGCCGCTCAGGGAGCAGATGGACCCGAAGATCTTCCCGGCGATCGTCTTGGGCACCATGTCCCCGTAGCTGAGGGGGGAGAGCAGGTGTGAGGAAGAGGGGCCGTTTGGGAAACAAGGGCTCCCCTGCCAATCATCACTCATTCACTCATTCATTCAACAGCTGCTGAGGTGCCTTGTGCGTCAGGTACTGAAGTAAGACCTGGGAATGAACAAAGCAGACAAGATCCTTATGCCCCTGGAGCCAACATCCTCCAAGGGCAAGGCCATAAACAGGAAGTGAATTCATAAAGGCACCGCGACCTGTGGTTACGGCCATGAAGGGAAGAGACACAGGTGCCGTCAGGGAGGGACTGTGGGCAGGAGCCGCCGCAGGAACTTTTAAACTAACTCACAAGGAGCTTAGCTGGTTCTAGAAAAGGTTAAAGAGCCATTGGGGCTGGAGGGAGGAAGGGAGTTATACAAGGGGGGGAGGGAGGGCAGGCAGGGGCCTGACCGCACGGAGCACTAAGAGCCACGGATGAGCCTTAACCAGAGAAGCACCGTGGTCTCATTTATGATACTAGCATGTGCCAAACCCACCTGCCGACGGAGATTCCTGCCTTAGAAAGCACTTCGCACACTGACCTCACAGCCCCAGGAGCCGCGAGCCTGGCGTCCTCGCTCCCATCACAGCTGCAGCCGTAAGGCTCCGAGGTGCCCTGGTTTGGGTACATCTGGGAGGAAACCCACTCTTGTTTTCATCTCTTTTCTAGAACCCGCACCGAGCGAGGGCGGACCACCAGCTCTGAAACTCGGCCCCGAGGGCGGGGAAGCCACTTCGGGACAGAGCCACTCTAAAGTGCTCCATGTCATGGCGGCAGCTGCCCCGAGACCGTCAGCCCCCGCGGCCAGGGCCTCTCCTCCAATCAGGGGACTCTCCACAGCGGTAAGCGTTTAGCCTCTTTAGTGAGATCATTGAAAGATTATCAAGTGAAGAGCAAACAGGTGCGACTCCTTTGGGACAGAACACCAACGCCCGGCCCCGGGGTCTGGACGAGAAACAGGCTTAGGATGACCAGAAATCGTCGCTGCTGAAACAATGAGGCTCAAGGTCACTTGTCCTGAGGGGGGACCACGGAATCCTGGGCCCCACAGAGATGGGGGGGTCGGGGGGAGAGTGGAGAGCCAGCTGGGAAGAATGAAGTCCTCACCTGCGAGCACTGAGGGCTCTGGGAGGACAGGCCGGTTGGCACGTATTTGCTGAGCAAACGCATGATCTCGTTTAAGCCTCCCACCCGTGAGTCGGCTCCTGTCTCGAGAACTGCCTGCCTTCTCCTTCAGTGTCCAGGCCCTTTGTCCCGGGCAAGTTGTCAGCATGTCCCTGATGTTCAGGCTGCGATAGGCTCCGGGACCCGGATCCAGGTCTGCCTTCGCTGCCACGTGCTCAGGGGCATGGCTGATGACGTGGCTTCTGGAGGTGGAGCCCTGGGCTCAAGACCCACCCAGCTCCCCCAGAACACGAATGCTTGACGCTGGACCTGCGTCCTTGTCTATAAAGTGCGTGGCCGAGGCCTAACCCTGTAGCGACATACGCAGCTCTATACAAGAGGTGCTGTTACTCTTGCCCAGGCAGCCTGGTAGCCATGGTCTCTGTTGCTGAGCTTGGGGCACAGCTGGTTGTCCCAAGTTCAAGTGCTCCCAGTGGCAAAGATGGAGGTGGGTCGTGTTAGCCGGAACCGACTGAAAGACGGACATCGGGCCGGTGACCATGGATGTAACGAAGCGCGGCAGGAACGTGTAAGAAAGTGCCAGGACTCCCTCTCAGAGCGATCGCGTGGGTGGGGATGCTGAGGGCAGCGGGAAGGTTGTCCCCGCCCCTCACCCCCTCCGGCAGAGAGGACGGGGAGGGAAGCTACGCCCACCATGGGGCAGATGGTCTTCTGGCAAGAGAAACAGAACTCAGCTCCTGGGCGAGCCTGGCCTTCTCCACGGGGAGCAGGCTCTGTCGGGAAGACTGGGGCGAATGTGGGTGCAGAGGAGCTTGAGGGAGGGCACAGGGGAGCAGGCCAGTGCCACCTGGGTCCCATCTGAGGGAGGAGGAGCGTGCAGATCGGGTCAGGGCCCCACCGCCATGCTCGGCGAGCAGTCACAGCGCCGCGGAGAAATGCCAGGACCAGAGATGGCAACGGGTGTATCGATGTTTGTAAAGAAGGGGAGAGGAGCTAAGAGACCACGGACAAGCAGGCTGGCCCTCCATCAACTCTGCCATCAGATTGCCGGCAGGATCTGAGAGCCGATGAAGGGGGCGGCTGGCGGACACGGGAAATGAGTTGTATTGTGTGCCAGGCACGGATCTTCCCAAATGAACCCCCATTCTGGTTTTGAGAGGGTTCACCTGCTGGTGGATCAGGAGACTGCTGCTGGCCTACTGCGTCATGATTTCGGCAAGATCTGTTTGTTCTTGGCCCAGTTCTTTCTGCCCTCGGCAAGTGGGAGGAAGGTGGTGGGGACGGCAGTGGCCGGTGGGGTCCGGACAGCCACCTGCAGGCTCCTGGCCCTTCTCAGAGACCACCACGGCGGGTGCTCGGCCAGCAAAGGAAGCTCAGGTTCCCGTGTTAGGAGGGTCCCCAGAAAGAATGGGCCTGACGTGAGGTCTCCCGTAGCACGTTCCAGGATTTTCCAACAGCGTGTACAGAGCCGAGGGAGGCAGCCTGGCCTCATGACAGAGACGAGGCTGGCATCAGGGCCGGGGTGGAGCCCGGCCCCGCATTTACTTACTAGTTGAGTGACTTCGGCAAAGTGATGTCACCTGAGCCTCTAGCAATAGAAGATGGGTCTTATCTACCTAACTCCAGGGCACCTCTTCCCCTTCCCTGGATTTTCACTCTTGAGACCAGATCAACCTCCTTCGAAGAAGGTGAAGCTGCAACAAACATGGCTCCGGGCTCCCCACAGCCATGCTTTCTGCACGTGGGAGGGGGCCAGCTGTCGGCAGAGCGGGAGCCGGCTGACACGCAGCAGGGGGTGATGGGAAGGGAGGTCTGATGCCGTTTGGGCTCCTCTGAATTCTCTCTGAGGCCCAGCTTCACTCAGCCTTTCCTGCAGCTCAGTCCCTCCTGGACTCTGCAAGTTACTATGTTTGTTTAACCTTCCATTGGATCTCATGATGGTGATGAGATGATGGTGATGCCCAGACTACTGCTGCTCTCCCTGAGCAAGCTCTTCCCATTTCTAAACGACAGCGACTGCCAGTCAAACCTGCGGGCAGGGTTGGTCACTCACTGCCCAGCCGCTGACTGCAGTGGCACGGCCACGAGGGGTAGTGCACCCCGGGGCCCCCGACAGTCCTAATGGCATCTATGGCCTATTTTCTCTGTGGAACGTGAGCAAAGTGAGAAAAGGAAAAACAAAAGGTGTCTTGGGCTCAGACAGTATTTGAAGCTGTCCCCTTACTCCCCTTTTCACCTTCCTCCTCTCATGCCAACCAGGGCTCCGTCCCCCCACCTCTTCCTGCTCTGAGCCCGGGGAAGGCAGGGGCAGGAAGGACCCTCCTGGAGGTGACGCAGGTGCAGGTGGCCACGGTGCTCACCTCAGACCTGCCTGGGGCCAGGTGGAGGCGGCTGCTGTCCCTGGTCGGGGCAGGGGGTGGGGGTGGGGGGCACTCAGGGGCTCGGGCTCTGCTTCCCACCTCTCCCAGCATCCTCGGACCCGCAGTGACGTCGGGAGCAGGCCTTGGTGGAACAGTAAATCTGGGCCCAGCCAAGGACACGTGCCCACTCCTGGCTGGCCACTCTCTAGAAGGCCACCCCAGAAACAGCTGTTGTGATGAACATATGGACAAAGAGAAGCAGACAAGGCAGTGCAGGCCTGGGGACAAGGTGGTGCAGGCCTGGGGACTGGGGGCCAAGGTGGTGTGGGACTGGGGGACAAGTCTCCGAGGGAACATGGGGACTGACCGGATGCTGTTTCACAGCTGTTTCTGTCACCTCCACTCCCAAGGGGGTGGAGGGGTCCATGGGACAAGTCTCCGGGGACTAAGACTGGGAGAATGGGCTCAGGTGGTTTCTAGAAGAGCGTACCTTCTAGAAGGTTTCTGGGGCGGCCTCTCCGCCTTCCACCTCCCTGGCCAGCCAGCCCTGCTCAGAAAGGGGGGGCTGCCTCCACTACAAATGGAGCATGGGCCACGATGGCCGCTGGTTAGTGCCAGGGCGGCCAGGGTGGGAGGGAGGCACTCCCCAGGGGGATGGAGCACTCGGTTGAAGTCGAGGAGGGGACAGGGAGCTGAGACGCAGAGGCTGGGGCGGGCATGTGCCAACGGCCGATCCCTGGGGACCGTGTGCAGGGCCTGTCTGAAGGTCCAGTCCTGACCACCGGCGCCGCTGATTCTTCCCGCGCCCCCGGGGAGGGCCATGGCGTCGCTGACAGACAGAGGTGGGCAAGAGGCAGAGACGGGGCCAGAGGAGCCAGCCCCTGCGGGCAGAGGTGCCAGCGATGCGGCTGCTTGGCCCCCTGCACAGCCACCAGGTGTCCCCACTCACCACGGCACTGCGCCTTCCGCTGCCCACCGCAGATCCCAAGCCCTGCCAGGTCTCATGGGCCCCGGTACCCCGTGGCGGCTAGCACCCGCTCCCTCCTGGGGGTGCCTCCCCCCGCCTCCCCCTCCCTACCCTGAGGCCCAGGGGACTCCCTCCCCTGCCCACCTCACCTGGACGGCACTGAGTCCCGCGTCTGAGTCCCAGACGCCGTCAGGGTCGTGCAGGGGCTTCCGAGTGACAAGCACAGCCCCAGCCGCGCTCGGGGGCCTGTCCGCGCTGGCCTTTCACTGTCCGCCCCCAAGGGCTCCCTGCACAGGCCGCTGAGAGCCCTCGGGCAGTCACAGCTCCCGGGCCTCAGTTTACCCTCCTGAAAATGGCATCGCAGTGACCTACCTGGCAGGGCTGTCCTGAAAGTCACGCTTGTAAAAGTTCTTTATAAATTGCGGGCAGTTTCATAAAGATGAGAGAGTTTACTGTGTGTGCAAACGACAGTTATACACACATAATTAGCTATAGTTATATATAAACCTGGTATCGTCCTATGACTATAGGT